ATATTAGGGGTCACAAGTTTCTGCCATGGATATTTTGTGGGTCAGAAGATAAAAAGTTTTGGAACCACTGGTTTAAAGAGCAGAACCAGGTGAATGAAAGTCAGCAGACACATGAACACACTTCATTTCTGGACATTTATGGTTTGATTTCTTTGTATGTATGGATCACTTGGGTTGTTACCAACATCTGGTGAAAATTTCATGTCATTAGCACCTCTAGTAATATATTTACTGAGAAAAATGCTGACGCGTTCAATACTTATTTTTCCCGCTTTATGTAGAAACTGAGACTTTGATAAAGAGTTTAATTGTTTATTTAAGTGTTAAAAGTTGAAGCTGCTAAACATTACTGCTGTAAAAAACTATTTTTTCATACACAGTAAATTTAACATTTGCTCAAAAACATCCAGTGGTTTAAAAAGAGTGGGCAAAATCACTGCCAAAATGAAGATGGAGGGCCTGATTATCTGTGAAAGATTGGTTGATTTGGGGAACTGGATACAGCAAACAGCTCTGGTCCCATGGTCCACATGCTCTGACCACCATTTACAGTTGTAGCTGATGTGGCAATTCTTGTAAACTTTTATTCTCACTGTGAAAAGTAATGACCCAGCTAACATTAGCTTGTCAGCCCCCTCAACGTGTTTGTGCAAAACAAAACAAAAAATAAAGCATTTGAACTTCTAAAACCTTTTACTTCCCATCCAAGAAGCTTTATCCATTCAAAACCAAAAAGTGTGGCGTTCCAAGCTCTAATGTAAATGACATGCTACATGATGTGAGCTAAATTCAATCAGACCTGAAGCTCATTAAACAGAAGACCTTACTTTTCATTTTAAGTTCTCAGACAGAGCAGGACAGCATTAGTCTCATCACAGCCTCGTCTGACAAAAACCCTTAAAAACGAAGCATTTCAGACTGCATATAATTTGTTGAACAGTATCTSGGCTGGTTCCTCACTGGAGCTCCACCATCTAACATAAAATCTCCAAACTGATCAATTAAATCAGTGAGACTCTGTACCATCAACCAGAGCCTTATYTGCCCAGTATGGTGGATCAGCAGCTGACTGGATGACACACCATCACGTTAGGTTGAGACCAAGTCTTCACTGAGGTTTAAGGTCTTTTAATGTGCTCATTTTTGAAACAAAAAACTTTTTATTTTATATTTGTCACTTTCTTTAATTAAAGTTTGTTGTTTAAATATGTCTATTGCTTTTTACTGCCCCACGTTGGGCGCCATTATTTTATGTGACGGTACTGGTTTTTGATGGTCTTTATTGCTATTAATTTGAATAGTTAAGTTGGGCGCCAGTCAGGTCTCCCTCCTGACGTAGGATATTTTGACCAACTTGAGATGTTTAACTGTTATTAATATATGGTTTAGAATTACTTTTAGGTTTTAACCTGTCACACCAGGACATGTAGATTYCATAAACAATATATAACTACACACCCAGTTCAACTTAATCAGTGACAAAATGCTTAAATAAAAGTAAGTGAGCACAGACAAATGAATAAGGTTTTTCAAATATATTAATTACAAAATAAAAGAGAACAAGAAAAATAGAACAATATAAATACAAAAATACAAATAATACAACAAAGTTCCCTTTCATTTCTGGAGCAATGTTGATGCAGGTTTGGAGAGCTGCTGCAACTTGGGTCTTGCCAGCAAGTTAACGAACACACACACAGAGTGAGGGCGGTTCTTTTAAAGGTTGAGTCACTGTGGCTAGCACAGGTGCTCCGAAAAGCAATAATTAGACAGGTGGAAACAGGTGAAACAATTAACTAAATCTGGTGCAACTCCTGGTTGCCACAACTATCATGATCAAACAGATGCTGCTCAACCAATCACCTCCCCTCCCAAAACAGAAACACAAAGATAAAAAAGTGGGAAATCAATATCGGATGTTAATATCGGTACAGTTTTACATACTGGACCGATATCCTAAAAAATTACCAATATCGGCTGATACCGATATATCTTATGGTGCGTTCACACCTAACGCGATTTCAGCTTCAGGAGCAGCAGGTTTACATACAAAGTCTATGGTGGACGCGCTTCAAGCAACGTC